ACTGTTACTGATGAGAGAAGAGAAGGGCAGAACAAACAAACAAACAGGCGGGGAAATACTCACCATATGCAGTCTGGCCATCTCGCATACGATGCGTTCCCTGTAATTGAGACAATGAGGAATAAGTCTGCGGTGCCTCCAGTTTAGTGCGTTACTAAATCGCTGAGGTAAAGTCAGACTAATAATAAAAAAAAAATTGTAAAATTAGTATCTGCAAGATATTAAAGATGGAGGTGTTTTTTTATAAACAACACCAATAAGGTAATTAGAGTATTGATCGCTATAATAGAAACAAAATGAGTACACGTTTTTATTGCGACCCTGGGGTAGGCTAACTGGCTAGCAGAGCAGCTGAGCCACATTCCATTTCAAACAAGGATCAGCTCCAATCGCGAGGGGGGCCGCTTGTACCTATAAACATGAAATAAAAAGAATACTGAAATATAAACAAGATGAGAAGGGGCAGCACGCATGGGTGTGAACATTAAGTCAGATCAACAAACTGAGACTATCAAAATGTTTTAAACAGATTTGCCAAGTGTGTAGTAGTTATCAGAGCATGTGACGAAGTATTGAATTACAATATGGCTCAGTACACACTCTTGTGGTGAAAAGCACCTCATTACTGTGGACACCTACCCTTATCTCAGAATGTGGCAGCTATAGGAGCTGTCGTTCTTCCGTTGCTAACTGAACCAAGAATTCAGCAGTGGTCAAGAAGTATGCAGGGGTGGTGGAAGACACGTACTGTATGTGGAAAGAGAGCAAGATGGAGAGCAGGTATGCGGTCAGATGGACAGACAGACAGTACCAGGAGTACTGTAAGGGTAACTTTACAGGAAGCATGAACTACTACTACTAGTGCACACACAAATAACATATGTACATATATATGTACATATATATATATATATACATATATATGTATATATACATATATATATGTATATATATATGTATATATATATAAATTTAAGTACATATAAACACACACTTGTATATATACATATATACACATGTATATACTGAGGTATACAAACATATATATATACTCTATACATACATTCATATGTTTGCATATGTCATATATGCATACATAAATATGCATATATTTTAACATAAATTTATGTTAAAATATATGTAGAAACATGTATATACCTACAGCATCTATACATATAAATACACATGTATATACTTATACTGTATATACAAATATATATGTATATATACTCTAGACATAAATACATACAGTATATGTCTACATATGTCATATATGCATATATATATGTATATATATATATATACATATGTACAAATAAATATATATGTTAATATATGTATAAACATGTATATATGAAAAATACATATATACATACATAAAATATATGTATTTTACATACGGTATACGTACATTATATATACACACGTAAATACATTCATACAGTACATATATACATACATGTATGCACAGACAGTTGGAAAAGCCAAAGCTTTAAGGACAAAGAAAGCAAACATAGATTGGCTTAATACCTTGGACCAACCCTCCAAAACAATAGATAGTACAGAGACCTACAGCATGTCAGAGGTGACGTGTGGTGACCTGCTGCGATGTATGGTTTTCGACGGCCGAATTCCTAAATGACAGGAGGTTAAACTCGAGGTGGCAGAGTTGAAGATGTTTAGTTTTTATTTTTAAGTGACAAGGACAGCCAAGATAAGAGTATGTAAGAACCAAAAAGGTAAGGATGATAGATTTGGAGCTGCAAAGACAGGAGAATGAGAAGAAAACCTTAGAGAAGACCGAACAGTCTATGTAACAATACAGAAGTCGAGAAACAAGGTGAGATGGAGGCAGATTTTTTAAGAATGGCAATCCAAAAAAAAAGGATCAACTGAAATAATTGTTACGTGGCCAATCAGGTTTTTCACAAGAGTACGTGTTTATGTAAATGGTGACTACCACTCAAATCTTAGTACTGATTATGTGCAAATACACAACCACATTTAAAAAGACAAAAAAAAAATTCCTTTAAGAGTTTGGAAAGAAACCACCTACTTGTCGTGAAACAGGCCTGAGGCCTTGCTACAGTACACTAAAATTCACTGTACATATTGTGATTTTGGTCCTGAGCTTTTTGGGTGCTAGACAGATGCTTTGGCGCTAGCTAGCACTGTGCTGACTTAGACAGTAATTACGCAAAGATGGCTTTTCCTGCATCTCAGAAACACAAATGAGGGTACAAAACCGACATAAACAGTGTAATAAACCACTTCCAATTTAGTCAGAAAGGTGCTTTAAAGAAATACATACAACAATCGGGAATCTGGAACTTGCGTTCGGCTCAAAGAGTACCATGTTGGGTAGGGCTGTCACTTTCACCAACACTCAATTTGATAAAACGTTATAAACAATTTGATAGAACATTTGTAAATATATATTACCACCACTTCCCCACATACCTACATTACTTCCTTAAAATATGAATCCGTGTTGTGAGTCTTCGAAGTTTTGTCATTATTTACCAGAGTAGACTGCCGGAGCAAGAACAGCTAAATTAAGTAAATCATTGGTTTAATTTAGCTAAACAGTAATCCCGACTGTACAAATACCCACATCTCCCCACTAGATGGCATAGAAAATGATAAAGGCATTTTAGCCTTTATGCATGACTTTTACATGTCATTTATCTTTTTTCACACCAATGCTCCATCTATCTGCTCCTGACCCCGCCCTCTTTCAGTTAAGTCCATTTTTGTCAAAGTGACACAGTACACCACTTCACACAATGAAATATGTGAAGTAGTCTGCTGCAAATATTATCGGTATTATCGGTTAATATCAGAAACAGAAATGAGGTGTTTGGACAATATCGGCAAAAAGTTAATATTGGACAACCCTATTATAAAAGCAACAGATTAGAAGGCATTTTGATATTTCAGGTGTGAAAACCTAAAACACAGTTAACCCTTTCATGCATGAGGGTCACTACAGTGGACACCTGAGAATCCACTGTAGAGGCTTATATGCAACACTGCCATCAAAACCTATTCTTATCTTAGAAAAAGACATTTTAATAGCTGTCCACTGTAGTGACCGTCATGCACGAAAGGGTTAATGCTTGTGTGTGACATTTGAACACTTGTGTGTTGTCAATCATATTCAGAGCAACTCAACAGCTGTCCCCCTCACAGATATATGGTTCACATAAAAAGTGACAGCCCTTTTACTGACATGGTAAGAAAGGAGATGTATCCCACTTTATTAGAAGTCCACACACAATACGACAGAGGGGTTAAATTTGTGATGGTTTTAAATGATTGGCTCTTAAGTTACAGGCCAGTGAATGGCTCAGTAGATACAGCAGTCTGACTTGGCTTTTATGGACCTCTTTCTGAGCAGGCTTATCTCCAGGCAAATTCATTTGAGCCCCGGACAAAATATTCACCATACAGTGTGTCTACAGAAAACCTCCACAATTAGTAAGTATGAGGTGGGTTTCGAGATGCCAAAACAGTCTTGTACTACAAGAACATCAATGGTTGCTCCTCGTGGTCGACTACCCTCATTTCATCCTTCACATGGCACGTCCACTTGGCAGGGGACAGAGTGCACAATGGCTGGATAAAGACGTCAGCATTTCTAAGGAAATAGGTTTTTTTTAAAAAAAAGCACAGATGCTACTCATTCATGCTCACCATGTACAGTATGTGCCCGTTAAACAAAAAAAAAAAAGACACGCAAAGGTTCTTCTTCCTCCGTGTCCTTGACAACACACCCTGTTCCTGGTGTTTCCAGTGGTTTTGACACTTCAATAGATTAGAGTGCTTTTGTAAATAAAAATAAAAATTAAAAAAAAGAATCGGTCGTCATAGCGGCCGGGGCCGATGCAGGCCATCAATGTCAGAGGTCAGCTGTGGGCTGTGGGTGGCTTTAGTAGGTGTCCAATCTCCCAAAGACGCCTGTGCTGCTTTGCGGTGAGCAAGACGGTGTGTGATAGAAAAACCAGCATTTCCTTCGAGTTGTGAAAGCACAACCAGCACTTGCCTGCATAGGGAGACAAGGAGCGGAGAGTCAAGACAGAGTGAGATTTACTTTGTCTGTTTTGGATTATTTCTCCCTTTGATGCATGACCCATGATATACTGAGTTAAAAAAATGTTCCTAAGTGTTTTTAGACATAAAAATAAGAACTGATTTGGTTCTGTTTTTATACACCACATTTTCTTTTTGAATGTTAACACAATTATTCTGCAGTTGCAAAGGCTGACCACTGTATGGCAGTGTTGGGTGATTCTCAGGCATCCACTGTAGAGGCTTATATGCAACACTGCCATCAAAACCTATTCTTATCATAGAAAATGACATTTTAATAGCTGTCCACCGTAGTGACCGTCATGCATGAAAGGGTTAAATACGTGTGTGATAATAATAAGTAGAAAGTATAAAAAGTGCACGATAAAATAACAACAAAACATAATAACACATTTCAGAACAATGACATGAATAAATATAGGTATATAAATATAATAATAAAATAATAATGAATTAATAAAAAAAATTTAACACAACACTATATTTTTCTTTCTGCTCTACTCTTTGCTTGGCTTAGGTATCAGTTTTTTTTTTGTTTTTTTTTTAACAATGTTTGATTCTGAAATTTTGCCCAACATTATACGGATACCAATCCTGATTATCGGAGGAGCAAGCCATCCCTTGTATGTGTTGGATTTGGCTTTAATAATTTTGTTAAAAAAAATAATTAAATGTATAAAGGAATTTCATTCAGGAAACTGAACTAAATGTATTTAAATATACTTATTACTAATTTTGTGTAATAGTTTTACAATTATTTTACAGTTATTTCATAGTCATAATTGCAGGCCTCATAATCATGATCAAATCAAATAGTTTGATCAAATTGCCCCAGAGATTTTTACCCCCTGTAACAGTAGCTAGGTAGCAAACACTCGTAAAGATTCTCAGTGGAATTTCTCTTCACTGTCTTCTAATCTGGCTGAAAGCCACAGTTAGCTGGGTAAGACATGACTCATGATCCGAGAGCCAGGGTGTTGAGCTTTGCGGTTTTCCTAAAGGTCATAAGTTATGGTTGAGGAACTGCAGTTGTCTATATATTTTTTTTTTTTTCAAAGATTAATTTCTTGAACGGCATGTCGTAAGATTTATATATATATATATTTATATATATATATATGATAGCCCGAAAGTCCGAATATATATACAAAGAGTCTGAATATATACACAAAAAGTCTGAATATATATACAGAGAGTCCAAATATATATACAAAAAGTCTGTATATACAGGAAGTCTGAATATATACACAGAAAGTCCAAATATATATACAAAAAGTATGAATATATATACAGAAAGTCCAAATATATATATATACAAAAAGTCTGAATATATATACAGAGAGTCCAAATATATATATAAAAAGTCTGTATATACAGGAAGTCTGAATATATACACAGAAAGTCCAAATATATATACAAAAAGTATAAATATATATACAAAAAGTCTGAATATACTGTATATACAGAAAGTCTAAATATATATATACAGAAAGTATGAATATATATACAGAAAGCCTGATTATACAGTATATACAAAGAATTGAAACCCTTTTGACCACAGTGCCCCAATCAGAGCTATGCCTGTTTCTAATATATATATATCAATATAGGATGGGATGTTGTAAACCAGGATGGATAGAATCAATTTGTTGATCACAGAGCACATTCTAGCTTGTTGTTTTGGTTCCTTTTTCTGCTTTTTACTGTTCTTTTAGAAATTGGCTTCCTTTGTACTGGGGGGCACATACTGACCCAATAACAGCAAGTCGTAATCTGACCGCCCAAGTGGGCCTGTCACTGTCATCAGGAGCTGCCAGAGAGGTGTTCTGGAAAGTGATTTGGCTTGTTGCAAGATAACAATTCAATACATTATGCTTAAATATTTTTGTAAATCCATATGTGAAGAATAGACAGGATTTTTGAAACTGAATGGCACCTAAGAAATATCACCTCCTATAACACGGCAAGGATTTAAAAAAAAAAAAGCTTAGACAAGATAGTTAAACAGTTTTGCTTGAGGAGTAGTAGTTGTCCGTTGTCAGTGTTTACCTATGCAACGGAGGGACGCTGTCGATGGTCTTAAGGCTGCCTCGTGTGGACACCACATTGAAGCTGTCAGTGCAGTCGCAGGAAACATGGAGGTAGTATTTATGGTGGCGATTTTCCACCACAACAATGAGCCCAGCCCATCCATGAGTCAGGTAGTAACACGTCATACCTTCACGTCCCTGTTAAAAAAAACAAAACAAACCATAACAGTTATGATCTAACAGAAATGAATCTCATAATCAAATATTTTCCAAAAATAATTTCCATTCTTTCCCTTACCTCATGTCGTTCCCCTTTGTTTTCAGTTAGAAGGATGATGGCGTCAGCTAGCGTGGTGGGGCTCGCCTCCACCTGCTCCACCATCACCTGTCGAGAGCTATAGAGGGCGAGTATATAGCCAGGGAAGTCATGGTTTGGCCGCTGTCCTCCTCCACTGGTGGGGCTGGAGACTTTGAAGAAAAGAAGAAGAAGAAGCTTTAACATGTTTTCACAGGAAATCTACACTGTCACTGCATTCTTCTTTTTAACGTAGTGTGGATTTTCGGCAGTAGTTCTATTACTAGGTTACAAAGGAAGAAAATGATGTGCCAAGGTAGGATTATTTTGCGGACATTTGAGGACTAATGTGGAATCTTAATTCCTACTTGGTGACGCTCCGCTTGTGGATCCAACGTTCATCTGCCAGTGGTTGAACGCGCAGCAGACAACAGCGTACTCTCCTGGCTCCAGCATGACATCGCAGCCCACGAACTTCTTCACCGCCCGCTTGCTGTGGGCTAAGAGGCGACCCAGTGTTAGCTTGTTGCTGTTTCCAAAAGAGGCTCGAAACACCATGATGCACAAGTCCAGCAGGTGGCTGTCAGCTGTGTCCGAACGCCTGTGGAGGGAAAATTGAGTACAAAGGTTAGTGATGCAGGACAGGAAGTACAGCTTCTGACCAAGCGCCATCAGCTTTGCCCAAATTTGCTGAGGCAGCAGCATCACTACCAGAATCAGAAACGTTTTTATTGCCAGGTAGGTTTTCACCTACGAGGTGGGGGGGAGAAAAGGAGCTAGCAGGCTTTACAGATTCACAACAAATGCTACATTTTCATTTGACTCAATTGGCAAAGTTATTATTAATCATCAATCCTAAGGATGACCAAGAAAGAAAAAAAAGATATAGCAGGACAGGAAAATATACCTGCTTCCCTCCTGGAACAGAGCAAACTCCAATGCCGTTCTTTCCAACACAGTCAGGGAAGTGACAGTGATTGGTCCACTGGCCTTACAGGGGAAGCAGCCCTGTAACCGGACCTCTTGCCAGTCGGAGTGGATCTTGCAAATGTCCACTGAGTCAAAGTACCTACAGTTTGAAGAGACAAAAGGGTTGTCTTTAGGATAAATAAGGTAACTGGCAGCAGTCAACTTTGCTATCACATCAGCCTTTATCTTGTTGATATCTGACAGTTAAAGCAATAGAGTAGAGAAGACATATTAATTATGGCTGATTTTTTTTAAATTAAAAAAAACCCGAAAGTAACCAGCTTAAAAATTCAACCATATTAATTATGGCTGATTTTTTTTAATTAAAAAAAACCCTCTTAAAAAAAGAGTAACCCTCTTAAAAAAATTCAACTCAATAAATAATAATAATAATAAAAAACAGGAAGCGTTTCAACGATTCACCTGCAATTCCAATTGATGCCACTAGATGGCAGCATAAACATTTTACCTTGGTGGGTCGCCTATCTTTCTACTTCCACTGGTCCCCAGTCCAGTGACAATAAGAAAAAAAAAACTTTTATTTTGAATAATGTTTCAATTAGAATTACCAAAATTGCCAAAAAAAATAAATAAAAATAAAAACATTTCAACATTTCTTCTCCTTCAAGCCTCATTTTTCTGCACGAAAAAAAACTTAATAATAAAATTAGTGGACATAGGCTGCTGACTAGCCCAGTTAAGTGTTCATACTACTTTTGAGATCTACCAGTAGATCGCAAAGGGAGTGCCGGTGTATCCTGAGCAATTAAAATAAAATAATGAAAATATAAATATAATTCTGTCATGTGTAGCAGTGACCACATGCTGTAAGAATCATTGAATCATATTATGCCAAAAACGCTAGATGGAAGTGGTTTCCCAACATATAACGTGTATATAACTAAGGTCCAGTTTATAGAGTACAGTAAGCTTTTCAACGTAGGTAGCCTGGTCATTTCAATGGTAGCTCCCAAGCCAAAATTGTGGACACCCGGGTATAGAGAGTGCCCAATCACCTACCATCTGGAACAAGTTCCTGTTCCAAAATCCAAAAATCAAAGAAAATGTAGTGAATTAAGGCCAAATGCTTCATCCTGTTTTTTTGTGATGAAGGGCTTTAACAAATACTTTAATACTGAAAGATGAAATAGCGTCTGATAAATGATAAACTTGTCCCATTAAAATATGTTTTCGGCCTGCTTCCATCCATTGATTTGAGAAGCAGTGTTCCAATTGTTTCCTTTTTGCGTTTGCTATTATTTACTGCGTAGAGAAAATTACAGGTTTTTACATCTGTCTGCCACTTTCTCGACTTTTCTGATGTCACTTTCGCAGAGGGACCAATCAGGCCATGACATGATAGTCTCATTTGTAGCATATGCGATGATAACTATCTTGACCACTGTGAACAAAAAAACCAACGAACATACAAACAAAAACAACAGTTAGCTACAATTGTTTGCTGTTCTGATGCCACGGACAAAATATATATATATAAAAAAAAAAAGCAAAATGTTAAACAACTAAAACAATGCCTGGCTCTGGACAAAGTTTAACTCAAAACCCAATTGTTTAAAACAGTGACTCTCAACAAACAATGTCAACAGTGTAACTATGAACTGCAGACGATGAATTATATTAATGTTTTTTTTTTTTGTAGAGTCCCGTAAGGCTTTTATCATTCTTTCGTTGAAAGCTGATTAAAATATTTGCTCTATGGTTCAACACAAACGTTAGATCCATATGGGGAAAGCAAACAATAGAAAAAGACAAAGACAAGCTGAATGATCGATCACTGAGACCACATGGTTAGACGCAGGTTGGGTCTCTTACTTTATGAAGTCAGTATATTCCATCCAGAAGACACCTTCGCTACTGCCATGAGCCATTAGCTCATGACGCAAGTGTTGTGGCCACTCTGTCCATTCGTCCGACCAGCTTCCATTCCACGAGAAGCGACCCCAGGGGTTACGTAATCTCAACAATCTGAAAAAGTAGTAAAAAAAGTGAAGACCCCAGGGGTTACGTAATCTCAACAACCTGGAAAAGTGAAGCAAGAAAATTAAGAAAATTCCTTGTTCCTTAATAAGTTAATACGTTTCCTTGCACCGCAAGACAAAGAATTCAAGCTAGTCCCTGTGTACAATGGATAATATTGTGTATTGTAATAAGATTTAGACAGCCTCGAAGAATGTGGAAATGTGGTTAGTCGTGATGTTAACTCCGTTTTCATCTTGCTTTTGGGAGGAAAAAAAGCCATGAAATAAGGAGAGATCTACGGCTATGAAATATCTCAGTGACATGGATGTAGAGTCTTAAAATACATCCGTCATCTATACCATCTACCGCTTATTCCCTTTCACGGTCGCAGGCGGCACTGGCGCCAATCCCAGTTATCTACCGACAAGGGCGGGATACACCCTGGACAGTTCGCCAGTTCATTGCAGGGCCACAATTTATAGTGTCTGAGCAACAAATTAAAAACAAATGAAGCATGTTTTTGGTATGTGGGCGGAAGCTGGATTTAAAATAATTATAAAAATGTATTATTTAAACAAGCGTTCTAATTGAAATACAATTCATTATTTTATAGCTGTTAAATCCACCAGTGTTAAAATCCACCAAGTAGTTTACACCATGCCAACCGCATTCTCTCAGTTGTGTACGAGTACACAAGAACACTATTTGTCGAGGCAACCGGTTGATCAGGATCTCTGTGCACATTTAGTGTAAACAGAAAAGTACCACAGGGCGTACGAGGGATATTGATTCGGTGATGAAGGCTCCTTGATTTGACACCTTTTGTCTCCTGTGATATAAGTTTTGCACACTTTCTTGTACACGTCTCCCAAAGCCGTCTTTGTTTTGTTTTCAGGAACTCTGTGTCGAAAAAGGTTAAACTACCGCCATACCGCTGACATTCGCCCTCGAGCCGTAGCTGTAAGACGCATACATAGAAGTCAACAGCATAGATGTGTATCATAGATCAGCTATGTATATATATAGCTGATCTATATATATATATATATATATATATATATAGCTGATCTATATATACATATATATATACATATATATATATATATACACATATATACACACATATATATATACACATATATATATATACACA